CTCCTGCTGCTTCCGATCTAGCTCGCTGCTGGCGGCAGTAGATGAAGGCTCAAATACTGGGTCCTTGCCACCCATGTTGGAGACCCGCATGGAACTCCTGGCTCCTGGCTTCAGCGTGGTGCAGCCTGGCTGTTGTGGCCATCTGGAAAGGAAACCAGCAAATCGAAGATCTCTCTCCGTGTCTCTGTCGCTGTCTTTCCAGCTCTTTCTCTGCTAGTCTGCTTTTCAAATAATTTTAAAAATGAATAGGCATTAAATAAAAAATACAATATGTTGTTACTAATTGTAGTCACCATGTTGAACCATAGGTTTCTTGAATTTCTCTAATCGAAATTCTTATCCTTGGACCAGCATCTCCCTAACTACTCACTCCCCAGCCCCTAACCCCGTCCCTCATAACTCTATTACTCTGTTTCTACTAATTCTACTATTTCTATGAGCCAAGCTTTTCTCAGCTTCAACATACAAGGGAGATGGTGTGGAATTTGTCTTCCTGTGCCCAGTTTATTTCACTTAACATAATGTCCTCCAACAGTGATTGTTGCAAATAATGGGCTTCCTTTTTAAAGGATGAATGGTATTCCATTGTGTGTATATACCACGTTTGCTTTCTTCATTCATTTGTTGGTAGACACCTAGGTTGATTGTGTATCTTGGCTATTGTGAATAATGTTGTAATGAACCTGTCAGTACTGACTTCAAATCCTTTGGGTATATATCCAGAAGTGGGATTTCTGGATCATATGGTAGTTTTATTTATAATTTTTGAGGGACATCTGTACTGTTTTCCATAATGTCTATGCTAATTTACATTTCCACCAACAGTGTACCAGCGCTTCCTTTTCTCCACATCCTCTTCAATAAAGACTGTTTTAAATACTAAAAAATGCAAAAATAGAGAAGTGGTACTTCTTTTCTTTGAAGTAAGAATGCTATGTCAGCATACATCATTTCAGATGAATTCATTCGTTGGGTAAAATAAGAGACTATTTTAAATGTGAAAAACCCTCAGAATATCTGATAGGCAGAAGAATGTGCTCCCTAAGCTGTCCAGGTATCCTCCCTTGTGGTTGCTACATGAGAGGAACAAGGAATCTTGCCAATGTGATAAAGGTTAAGGACCTCGAGATGGGACAATTATCCTGGTTTATCTCGAAGGGTCCTGTAATCCAATCTCACAAATCCTTCAAAGTAGAAGGGAGGGTAGAAGAGGCAGTCAGATTCTGTGTGAGCCACACTCAACCTGACCTTGCTGTCTCTGAGGAAGGAAAAAGGGAGCTACAAGCCAAAAATTTGGGTGGCCTCCAGACCAGGGAGAACCTTTAGATGACAGCCAGAAAGGAAACAGTGGTCTCAACTCTACACAAAGAACTGAAATCTGCTCACAACTCATATGAGCAAGGAAATGAATTGTCCCTTGGAGCCTCCAGAAAGGGAGACGGGTCCACCAATGACTTGACTGCAGCTTGCTTACACCCATGGTAGTTCTGAGCTACTGAGACAAAAGATAAATGTTGTTTGAAACACCGATGTTGTAATTTGGAGCAGCAATAGAAAACTAATGCAAATTCTTATAGGAATTAACTGTGGAATACACACACACACACCCGTAATGACTAAATAGCAGAAGTCAGAATCTTCCCTTTTAAACTTGTCTCCATTTCTGGAATTGTCCATGAACTCCAGGTGCTCAAAGCAAACCCCAGAGCTCAGCTTCCGCAGCCATGCTGTGCAGTGAGAGAACCTCCTGGGTGCACTGTTGCACTTGCTTCTCACTGTCACTTGGTGTCGCTGTTGGGATGGACGGCACCAGAACAGCACTGAGAAGATGCAGCTGTCCTGCTGTGCCTCCTACCCAGGTTTCCAGGGTTCTTAGGCTGTAGCCTTATGTCCTCCCTGTCTACTCCGTCCAAGGAAGCCTATACAGGCTGTTTCAGTTCTCATTCACAGCTGCCTCAGGTAGGGCCAGGAAGCACCAGGGGCTCCCTGTCATGACTGTGGAGTCTGCCATAGCCTCAAGTGCTTCTGGGGAGTTGGGGCTTACCTTTACCCTCCAAAGGAAGCCGTTCCACTCACTCTTCTGCCTAAGGGAGCTTAGCAAGGCCTAGATGACTTTGTG